AACATTTAAATCATCTGTTCAGGAATCAACTACCAAATATATATATATATATATATATACTGTATATATACACACACACACACACATATATAGACTTATTTATATAAGTATGGCTGCTTGAAGACGGATATGTCCACTAGATGCAAGCATTTGACCAAATCCTAAAAAGCTACAGGGTCCACTTTAATGACCCAACTAAAAGCAGACAGTTGAAATGACAGGAAGTAAAAATGTTTCACATCAATTATAAATGGATACGATTAACGTTGGACAACAGACCACCCCACCCTTTACCTCCCATTCACCAATCAGACCATGTACTTTGGTGTTCGTCTGCCAATGAGCACAGACCCCAACCCAGGGTGGCCAATCAGGGCTCTCCAGGTCCCACTCCTCACATGCTACTTCAGGAGTGTTGGAAAATACGCTGTCAGACTACTTCAGCAGGTTTTACAGTTATTTGAATGCCTTTTTCTTCTTGTTGCATTTTAGCCTCTAGTTGTGGCAATAGTTCAGCTGAGTGTCTGTAAACTGTTAGTTTTTATAGCTTGGTCCAGCTGGACTGTCTCTGGAAACAGAGACAGTCAGAAATTTTTACACCTCTGTTAAACAGGACAAGGCAATATTACAGTGGAACAATGAGACTTGACATTTGAAATGGCATTGATAATTGGCTTTACAGTCTTTTTAAATGTGTAGAAATATAAACATTTTTGCAGAAATTCACATCCATAACACATCACGGAGTGAAACATTAGAGATGAAGTAACTGCTTTCCTGCAGTAAAAGTTTTAATTTAGTTATTTTGTTACATCGTATTAAAATGGTGTATTTAACCCTTTAGCAGACAATCTTATCAACCATGTGCAACTATGCCTTTAAGACATTAAGCAAGTGTAAAGGGAATACATAAGAACAAAATAGGACTGGATGAGGATTTTACTGTAGTACAATAAAATAGTGCATTAAATTTAGTATTTTCACAGCTGAACTGCATTATTCCACAACTATACCATAGTACGATTTATTCAAAAAATACACATACACATTTGATGTTTTTACATTTTATTGAAATTAGGAAAAAAAGGAAGGTGATAAAATGTAAAAAGACAACACATCTCTATGTGTGGAGATGAAATCAAATATCAACTTGAAATCAAGTCTTTATGGTAAAGGATGAGTCTGCGAGTCCCAAAAGGTTTTAAACCTTATCATCCTTTTTTACTTTGAGAAACTCTGCCATATTGGAGAAATATTTCTGGTTAGCTTCAGCCACCTTCTTCTCTGCAGCTTGGGGGTTGACAATCTCCAAACCCTGAGGATGAAAGAAGAGTCTGAGCTAGCTGTGACCTGCACACCTCGCAGACAAGGTTTTAATAAATAAATCAACTTTTTACCTGCAACGGTGTGAACGCCACACTGGAGCTGGTTCCAGAAGATCGATCTCTGACTGTTGACTTTCCTCCATACGTCATGCTCTGCTTTTGCAACGTCCTCTGTTAATACACATTAATAAGTCAACTTTAAAGATATCTTGGAAAAGTTTGATAATACGCTTATTTTTAGGTTATATTAATTCAATTTCAAACCAAAACCTTTCACCTGAAGAGATTTGGAGATCCTTGCTTTTGTGGCCTCATTGACCTGAGCCTGCCTGACTCGACCACTGCCACTCTGACCCAGACTGAAGCCCAGGTCCTCTTGATACGCATCATCTTCGATCTACAACAACAGGAAAAAAAAAAAACGTAGCTTTATTGGTGCAGCTGCAGTTAGGGATGCACTGGTACAGACACCAGTATCAGGCCCAACACAGTATAAGTGATGTATTATATACTTGAGACATTTTAAACGTTATTTTAAAATCTGTTCCCTTTTCATGGGAACCTCTGTCAACTTTGGTCAACACATTCAGACTAAATTTGTCTTTACACTCAAAGCAATTTTTCCCAGTGTGGCACAAACAAAGAAAATGTTTAATATGACTTTTAGGCTTATATATTACATATATTACAGGGTTGCCATAACCCTGCTATAAGAACACAATAAATAGTATCACTGGAAATACCAGCAGAACAAAAAAAAACACTGACCTCTGCAAAGGTCATTCTGTTGGCATGTTTTCTGATTTCTGTGAGTCCAAGACGCTCCTTCATTTTTCTATACCTGCAAAGAAAGACCAAAGACTAAGAACAATAAAAGTGTTGTTCCTTTACATTTAACAATGAAGTTTTGACTTCTTCAAGTGCCCTGAACAGCTGATAAACATTATTTAGTCTTAGACCATGTGACATCCTTTCTGAGACCTTTAGATGAAGTGGGATCAAAGCAAATGAGAATAAAATCATTTGTAAATAGAACGTTTAAAGGTTGTGACCGGTTGCAAACCTCCTTCCTCCTCTCTTCTTCCTCTGGCCATCCAGTGGAGCTGGCAGAGGCTTGACTTGCTTCACAGGGGGCGGTTCTTGCCATTTATCAAATTTCCTTTCAATTTCTTCTTTCAAATCATAACCAACCTGAGAGAAAAATAATAAACATGTTGGAAATTGTTTATTGATCTCCATTATAATATTTTATTTGCTAAATAATTAAGATAAAGAAAACCATATTAGCTTTGTGTTATACTCTGCCCTAACCCCAAGATTTAAGTGTGTACATTCCGTTTACGGACGGTCACCTTGCCATCTGAACTTCCATGGAAACTGTCCACTCGTGCAGCCAGTGTGCACTTGGCTGCCACCAGACGGGCTGCCTTCCTCCTCAGGTCCTGGTGACAGAAACGGTAGAGTCTGATGTGTGACAATGTAAAAATGTCACAGTAAACCTTGTGTTTATGCGTGTGTGTTTAATTGGACTCACGGGTGGTAGTGATTGTACCACATCACAGTGGTAAATAAATCCTGTGTGAGGAAGCAGCGATGTGCTGCTGAAGCCAGACAGGGTTCTCCTCTGGGCTCCCAGCAACATCAGGTTACAGGCCGGCATCTTTGACAGATTAGTGAGGCCGCCAGCAACACCTGAGCAGTGAAGCCATAGAGGAAGTAGGAGTTTATGCAAATGTTATTAGATACACAATGTTGAAAATAACTTTAATTCTATTGATCATAAGACGAGACGAGATATCCTTTATTCATGCGGAAATTCACTGGTTGTGTGTGTCTCACCCATGATCTTTGCAGCTGTTGATGCTCCAACAATGACAGACAGATTAGGAGCAATGAAGGACATTCTGGACTCTACATATTCATATATTCTGTGTTTTGATTGGTTAAGCTCCAGAGCCATATCACATGCCTCCTCCAGCTGCTTCAGTTCATCCTCACTAAGCTGTGACCTACAGGTTTGGATAAATTAGGAGACACCACTTTCTCTATATTGTTGTATAACAAAAACACTGATGCAATGTGATGACAAAAAGAGACTCACCCTTGTGTGGTGGAGGCAGTAACACTGACAACCATAATAGTTGCATTTGTAAGGATTTGCTGCAGAGTTTCATTGTTCTTGCATTTCTCTAGGTTGTTCCCCAGTTCCTAAATGAAAAGATGAGTTAAATTTAAAAAAAAAAAAAAAAACTATTCCATAAATTGTGGCGAGACAGGCCACATCTAATTTTCATCAGGTCAATATACAGGGGGTCTTCAGTTTACAAACGTCCTCAGCCTTTGTGGTTGCATCGCCCCCTCCTATTAATTTATTAAGAAAGTCTTGTTCCATCATTCTGACGTACAGCGTTAAAACTCAAAGTGGACGAATACGTCGGCACACAGTCCTATACGCAGAAGACACCTGAATGGTGAGACAGGTGAGCGACACACCTGTGAGTGACACAGGTTCCGACTTATGGTGAAAACTGAGCTGCGTAAGTAGAGGACCCCTGTCATGAAAATGGTCTGTACTTGCTTGTTTTCTTTTTTAATTATAAAGATGACAAAACCTCAGAGTTCAACCATAATAGGACAGCAGGAAATGATGGGTCAATGTGACAGAACATCTGTCCAATCAGAAGAGAAATAAGCCAGTAAAGAAGTTAACCTCATGTATATGGTTGAAGAGTTCTGTTAGGCAGTTGGACATGAAATTTTCTCAAGATGACATTTCGCCTCTCAACCAAGAGGCTCCTTCAGTTCTACAAGTTTTCTCATACATTTCATGTCCAGTTGCCTAACAGAACTCTTCAGCTTTCACCATTACTTGGACGACTGAGAATCTTCATACTCATGTATATTGTTTCTTAGAAAGAGTAAAGTAAAGAATAACAAGAATATATGAGGCAAACCGAGTGAATAGGAAGAACACAGAAATATTAAGTACATACCATTAGGTGATTTAGCTGGTTTCAATGTAACAGAAGATTACACTATAATAATGCTTTAACAAGATAAAATCCCAGAACGTGTTTATATTTTAACATGAATATTAGCCTAATGTCAAAAACTCTGAACACAAAACGAGAATCATTGTAATGTAAAGTAGTGTATCAATGTCACTCTTTAAAAAAAAAAAGCTTTAACTACTACTGTAAACATACATTTGATCTTGCTTAGAAACAGCTGTGATAATATGCTATAGCAATCTCCAGGGAAAGACAATAAGCTCATAGCATAGCAACAAACAAGTGTGGTAACAGTTGGTGATCACCTGTTCTGAGTTTGAATATGCATGTTATATATTGACATATCACAAGGAAAGTAGTCATTTTCATTTGTACTACAAGAGCAGTAACTTTATACTTCTTAACATAAACCTAAACAGTCATTAGTAAAGCAAGACTATTAGTGTAGCCACCACTCAGAAACAAAGATGACTTACCTTGACCGTGCGGATGTAATCTAAAGAATCTGGAACCAGTGACTCCAGCTCTGGAAACCTTTTTGAATATTTATCTCTTGTAAACTTGTGAATTATGTCTGAAAACATTGTGAAAAGAGAAAACAAGAGCAGAATAAGAAGTCAAACTAAACAGGTTACAAGTTGTAAGTACTACTTGCTGCAAAAGCAAACTCACTGAGCTCATTGTCAATTTCTACTGTTAGGTTGTTGGCTGCTACAATCAGTCTGTATTCAGGGTCAGCTTCAACTGGACCTGCCACTAAAAGAAGCAAAAAATGTTGAGACAATAGGACATTTGACAACCCCCTAAATTACTAAACAGAAAGTGTTACACTCACCTTCTGAATTTTTGCGCAGTTTTCCACTATATTTTGAAATTTTTTCCATGATCTCTGAAAACTAAACAAACAAAATATTATCAAACCGTTTGTTACAAAAACCTTGCTAACTACTCCATGAACAATCTCTCACTTGTTTGCTATTTCTGAGTTTGGCAATGGATGTAACGCTCTCAGCTTTACTGTAGTCCACCTCCATCTCTTCAGGGATATCTTCCAGTCCCTCTGTACGTCCCTCCGTCGTTTCTCCATCACTGTCTTCTCCCTCTGGATACAGCCCATCCTCACCCTCATCTCCAGCCTCCTCAAGGTCAGCCAGAAGCTCATCTGCCAGAGACATCTACACAGAACCAATTCAGCTCAGACATGATACCAAACACTTATTCATCTGCAACATAAATGTGCTTGAAACTGTTTTTTAAAGATTCTAAAAACAGTGACAAATTATAGGGTGCGTTATACTTATATGTTTTTCTTTCTAAATCTGCTATCTAATGTTATCAATTTCGTTGTGGTTGTAAATTGTGCAATGTTCAGGCTCCCAAGAGCCGCTAAGAACATACCTAAAGTGATACCGTTTGGACACGGTTCGTTTGAATTTCCAAACAAGCCGTAGGTAGATTTAACTAAAATGAACTTAATCAACACTCCATTCAAATACAGGAAAATGTCAGCCATAATATTATGGCAATACTCTGGTTATAATGCGACAGACAAACATAAAGAAGCTATAACGCATTCGAAATAAATATTTGTATATTAGGTCAGAATGTCTCCAGATACGTTGCATTGAGTAAAATCAACGATTAAATAAAAACAAGTTATCTAGGTTATCTACTTCAAACGTCAGTATAACACGTTTAAGTGTTTTGCTCTTAAGTTAGTATGAATAGACTGCATTAGCGGGTTAGCATTAGCAAACATTTTGAAAACGTTATTAAACGCCATTGTTTGTGCTGTCTACTTACCTCTGATTACAAAGATTCCTTTTTGAATGAAAAAGGCGAAACTAAATGAATAATAATAATATTTAAGATATTGTCAGAATCTAAATACTTTTTTCTCACGTAATACCCACGACAGAATTACTCGAGCAAATCAACATTGAAACGGGTCTTCTCGTTTCCGCTAAAATAATCACATCTCGGTAGACCACTGCTCCTATCGTTCGGAGGTGGTACTGTGCAAAGAGGACGGAAAAAGAAGATATTTTATTTTTAAGATAACACTTTATTAACAGGGGGTGTAAAATCTGTAAAACACACAATTACATTGAAGAGACAAACAATGAATTACTTTAGGAGTTGTGCAAATTTGACTTCATTGCCAGTCACTGGGCACAGAAGATTTGATTTTTAAAATAACACTGTTTACAGTTGGTGTAAAACTGTAAAACACGCAGTTATAATCAACAAGTTTATATAAAAGAGTATAAATTAAAAACAATCAGCAAATTGAAGAAGAAGAAAAGTACTTTGATTTTTAAAATAACACTTAATTAACAGTAGGTGTAAAAATTAATTTAGGACCTGTGCAAATTTCAGTTCGTTGCCAGTCACCTGGCACAACAGCTCCTCATGAGGCCACTGTTGTTTAAAAGTGTCAATGTTGTCTGTAACTGAGCCTGCACAGAGCCTTCGTGCTCGCTACGTGCAGGCTCAGTTGTTCTCCGTCATTGTGCTTTAGAAGGGGACCGGAAGAAGGAGAATTTTGTTTATTTATTTATTGAGGAAATTCAAAAACAAGTCCAAATTCAAAACAAAAAGATTGAAAATGCTAAAATCTTTACTGTTTCCTTTTTTCCGTTTTTAAGACAGCGATGTTTTAAAAACATTAAGTTAGCTAAATAAGAAAATAAGACCCAAGTTAAATTACATGAATTTACCATTATTGACAAATCTATTATATTTGTGCATATTTTAAAAGGTTTACATTTCACATTGTGCCTTATTGTTGTTGTTACGGTGGGGGTTTTTTATGTTGTTCTCTGGCTGTGACAAATACTAAACTCCATATGATTTTTGTCTTTAAAAGTTCAGCAACAGCATAATTTTTTGTAGTTTTTATTTTCCATTTATACATCATCCCCTGAAAACCATTTTAAACAATACATGTTTGAAAACAACATTTAATCTGACTAAACAAATCTGAACAGACTATGTGAAACTGGACTGCATGATGGAATCTTCTAAGTAGAAAATGGCATAACGTAACAAATACACATTATTTACTGATGAAAGGCTGCACATTTCCATGCTGAGCTTCATTAATGTCAATAAACATGGTTAAAGAGACAGCTTCAGATTCATAGACATAAGGAAAATAATTAAACATTACAAGACATAGTTCCTTACAGAAGGGCATATACTAGCAAGTATAATTATACAAAATACTTTTTTAGCAATTAATATGTTTGGGAAAATACTTTTGTTTTATACCTTTTATATGGGATCTTATAGAATAAACTAGATAGGTATACTATCCCAAACAAATAAAAGGCAAGTGCAGAAAATGATAAATAAATAAATAAATAAATAAATAAACAAGATTTGACAAATTTTAGTGGAAACAAAACCCTTGAGAAATATAGCTGTTTGAATTCCCGTGCAGTCTAAGAATACATCTAAAAGTAAACAAGTCTAAAAGGATCATGTATACACTTGTATGATGATATTTGTACAAATGTAAAGGAGTTTCTTCCATTTCCTGGAGGAGAAAAGCAGTTACTTGTTCCAACACCTGTCTACAAGAACAACTGGCTGAATAACTGACTCACTGAGTGACTTTATTGGATCATTTCTTTCAGGAAGCGACTGCTTGACAGCAGTCTGATTAAATAGACAGATGAATGGACATGAAAAGTGCATTCCCATTATATTTGGGTGGCTTAAAAACAGAACAAAGATAAGCTGGTACACAGCAAGACTCTCACTGCATAGCTGCTGGAATTCCGTTTCACACTTTCTTCCTAACATTTACTGCCTTTATCAAAGATTTCTTGAAGCCGCAGGCTGTAATTAAACTCTGTAAACAATGGCAGGCAGGAGCACAAACAGTCTTGGTCATACAAAATCATCTTGCTGGTAAAACCTGGAATGTGTCCAGCTTTTTGAATGGGAGTCTCATTCTTCCAGGTACCTTTTTATTAAAAAAATAGCCTCTGGTTCAATGGCTGGTTGTCGGGACAAATCCAAGAAGGTTCTGCTCTCACAGTTCCTGTGATGTCACCCAAACATCACACCAAATGGGGTTCATCAGCCGGGCTTACAGTGAAGCGTGATGATGTCACTGGATTGGCTCCCACAGTCGACCTTGGCTTTAATGCTAAACCATCTTTCCTTTTAGTTTCCTTGCTTTTGCTGTTTGGCCCTAGTGGAAATAAAATGAAACATGTGTAGAGGCATGATGAGCAAGAAATACAATTATAATTCTATTTGATATTTGGCAACCTTTTCTACCTTTTCAGAACAATACAAGTGTTTGTGAAAACAGGGTTTGTAATTCAAAGAGTAGATAATAAATAACTATTAATGGATGATGTGATAGAAAGATAAGAATAATAAAATGATTAAATTAGTAATGAATATACAGCTCTGGGAGATATTTGAAATAGGAACTAAGTCTGCAAATCTAAGCCTCAACTTTTGTTATTTTTGAAATGGGATCAAGAGTACATGGAATATGAGAAATTAAGACAAAAGCTCAGGGTTTTATTGTAGATTGGTGGATTAACGCCTCTGCTCAGTGCCACACATCACAGATGGATTATATCAGAATAATCCAGGATGCATGTTTAGAGAGAAGTGAGGCGGGATTGCAGAAGGCAAATGCAAATTAGGGCAACTACAATCTTTAACACATTATTAAACATAGGTCAAATATAAATATCAAGTATGTACGTGTACGTGTTTGCAGTCAGTCTGTGACTGGCAGTCTGACTGACACAACAGTCAGATGGACAGATTAATATTGTTGAGGGCAACGACTGCACTGAAGTTCAGACAGGTGATTGTCAGGTCTGGATCTGCTGAAAGTTTCTCTCCGTCTAAGATTTTCCAACTATTAACAACTTCTGTGCATTCTTAGAGTTCTAAAAAAAATCTCTGTGGTGGCAGCGGGGCTATTTTATTGGAGGGAACATCCATTTGTGAATGTTGGATAAACAAATGAAATTTGACTTGTTTTCCCAAAGTGTTGCTCCATTTCTTTTAGTTTTGTTTTCTCTTGGAAAATAATGATGATGAATCTGGGTTAGGGTTAGGGAAGAAAATCATCTCTCAAATCAGGGGATCTCAGCTGAATTGAGCTTCAATGATGGTATTCACTATCTATCCTCTGTAGTATTACACTGAAAAAAAAATCTAAAAAGCTTCAGCCACTTACAAAAAATATATAAACTTAAAATATTAATAAACTTTGACCGTAAATGTTTTTTTCTTTACTTACCATGTAAGTCCAACTTGGAGCTTTTGACAGACACTGGTGTAGGACTGGTGGATGCTGACATGCTCAGCTCGTTTGTTGGGGTTTCCTGTTGTAATGAAGTAGCACAGTCAAGCCTCAGTCTATAAATCTGAAATAACACACTTAAAAATGAAACATGTTTTAAAAATACCTGATCAAAAAGATAGATAGTGACATCATCAAAAAAGGACACGTTTCGCCCTCTGTCTTTTTCTCTGTCCATCGGTTCCTTTGGTGATTTCAGGAGACTCCTCAGACCGACACGTTTGTCCACGTCGGTCTCTGTGACCACAATCACTCTGCGTGTGCCTTCATCCTCCAGCTCATCCTCATCCTCATCAGAGTCCGCCCCCGATGACAGATCTCTCCGCCTGCTAAGCCGACTTCCAATTGGCCCATTATTAAATCCTTTACCAGTGGGTGGAAGAGTCAAAGCAAGAGGAGGGAGGGTGAGAGACAAACGAGCTAATTTAGCTGTAAAAAGAAGAGGAAACAACAGGTATGGGGAGGGGGCAGCCGTTATACTGTGTAAATAGAGATGAAACTGACCAGTGACTGGACAGCACTTATGGCAAAACTTGTCATTAATGCTCAGGAAATGGAACATTGCCTTTTCTACACACCCCTGGTTACCCACTGAACTTATTACTAGGAAAGGCAACGTTTGCACTTGGAATTTATTTCACTTTTTTAATGATTGGACATTTTATTTTAAGACAAGAAAAAAAGTCCTGAATTGTTCATATTTCTTAAAGTAATTTAAAAAATAATACAAAGTTTTATTTGTGTTTTAAAAAACTATTGGAGAAAGTAGGTGAGCAGAAACAGTTCTTATTTAGTACCTCATGCCAGTCACCAAGAATTTAATTTTGAAAGTTGAAAACAGTACCTGTGACAGAGTGGACTTTTGGGAAAATGTTTCTTGATACAATAAAATGTTGTTTTGTTGGTAATATTACCAGTAAAACATCACTGAAGAGTTTCTTTGTTAAAAAAATAGACAGAGCCAGAAAAGCAGATGGAAAAAATGTTTTTGTCTGCACATGTTTGGTTTGATAATGGGGTATGAATGGGGTCTGATTGGGGTTTGATTTAGGTGTTGATTTTCTTCCATAAATTGTCAAACAAAAAGAGTTCAAATAAAAACCTATTTGAAGTTGTATTAAATGATATCAGTTATAACTGGCATACCTTTCATTGCTTGATTTGCAGTGTTCTGAGATGCTGAGACTTCAGGATGCTTCATCACAGTCAGAGGCTCAGCTTTAGACTCATCAGAACAAATCGTGAAGACACTCTCCTCCTCCTTTTTACTAAAACAGAAAAAAATTATGGCTTTAAAATCCAAAACTTTATTTTTAAAACTTTGGCTGCTATCAGAGAATTGAGGAAATGTAATTTTAGATCAAGTAAAACATCAACATCAACATGTGATATTGATCCCTTTGATGGTACGTTTTATATACGCGTGTGTGTTTTTGTGTGTGTGCACTGCAAGAATCAGCACAGCAGTGAATTTCCAATGGTAGTTTTAGGTTCCATCAGTCCATCAGTGTGTTTCCTTCTTGAGGTCACAGTGACATTTACACCTGTAGTCAACTTAGAGGGAACAATTTAGCTAGCACTACAGGAAACCAGAGTGCCTGGAAAAAAACTCCATACAGAAGGACCATTAGTTACAGGGACTGAACCAGTTACTGTAAGGCACAAACACTAGCCACTGCTCCACTATATGGGTCTTGCAAGTACTTAAAATCTTTAACATTTCCAGTGCCAGATTCCTATGAAGTGGTAACTGTTTTGTGACATCAATATGGTGCTCAACACGAGGTGCTCCTTTATCACAGCATGCAGTGCCTGTTTTTTCTTGTGAAAGAAAGTGTTAATTCAAACCTTGGTCTTACCTTTCATCTTCTCTCTGCTCTGTGACAATGACCAGCTCGCTGCTCTCTGTGATTGGTTCACCCCAGGGCCGCAGCATCACCGTGTCTTTAATGGTCTCCCCCCAAAGAACATTGGTTTTCACATTTTCACTGAGAGAGAACTGCAGCCTTTCTTCACACACCTGAATAACACAGTTAACAAAATTACAAAAATGAGATTTAATTAAAAAAAAGATAATTTTGCAATGAACAGTGCCAAAGGAAACAGAGTCACCTGCATCATCAGGCCATTCTTTGTGGTCATCTTAGAGAGAGATCCTTGGTCTTTGACTTCAGACGTCTGAACCAAAGATCTCAGCAGGTCATTGCTTTTCTCCTGTGAATCCAGAATAATAGAGGAGGTGGACTTCCCCATCAGATCAGACTGGTCAGAGATTATGTTCAGCTTGGAACCAAGGTTGCTTAGATCAGGAGCAGCAGTAGGGTCACATGTTTCCTCACTTTTCTCTTCATCATCCATGGTGTTCTGGTCAGGTGTTCTCTTTAAAGATTCTAGGATCTTGAGCTTTCCTAGGAACAACTCTCCCAGGGCGTCCCCTTCATCCCCAGATATGCAGCATAATTGTTCCAGTTTTTCAAAATCCTCCAGAGGTTCTTCATCCAAATCTTTCCACTCGGAAAGCAATAATTCTGGGAGAGTGTTGAGGGGGGGCTGTGGTGGAGATGGTGTCATTGGGGAGTTTTTCTGTATCGTGTTATTATAATTGTTTTGAGTTTCACTGTTAAATGTGGGGTTGTTGTCATCATGCATCGTTACACACACTGTGGGAAGTTGAGCCAAGATCTCTTTGTGTCCCCCTCTGTCAGGTGAGAAGTGCTGTACCGGTGGCTGTGAGATGCCTATGTTGCTTTCTAAGGAAACGTATGACTCTGCATCAGTGCAAGCAATAAAATCCTCAACACTAATGTGACTGATGAACTCCTGTGCCTCCGACGGTGGGCTCGGAAAAGAGTCATCTAGACTTTCCAGTTTTTCATCTTGCACATAAAGGTCTATGCTTAGTGGAGGACTGGGGAAATCCACCGAGCTGAAATGAGAATCTACCTCCCCATGGTCTCCAATATCACTGGGAGAATTTGTGGAATTTAGTGGGGACGTGTTTTTGTCATCTATGTTAATTATGCTAAACCCATCTTCTATATGACTCCCACAAAGCTGTGGTGTCTCTTCTGTCACTGAACTCAAATGTGAAAAATTCAAATGATGAGTTCCAGCGATGAAAATAGACGTATTTGCCTTTTGAACAAAATCTAGGTTGTTTTCTACAACAGAGACAATGTTATTACCTGAGTCTACCTCTTCTTTTTGGTTCATGCAGAGCTTATATGGAGACCATCTGTTCAAATTCAAATTCTTTTTGGAGTCTGCTGAGTCCAGCCAACATTTCTCATCCCCGACTGTGTCTGTGTCTGTGTTTGATGAAATCCATCTACAAGTGTACTCTAAGTCCTCCTGCTCTGGGATTTCTACATTCCCCCGTTCAATATCTGGGAGTTCTTCTTCAGACTGCCTGTTGAAACTGTACTTGTCTCCTAGATTCTCCATATTTTCCTCCTGTTGTACATCCTCCTCATTGACAGCTGAGCAGTT